GAAGACCTGATTCCAAAGAAGTTATAACAGTAGTAAGTCTATCCTAGCTGTATGTTACTGAAAGAAAGGGTTGATGACGGAGGATGTATTTTTCAAACGAGAGATCTTTCCTGCACCTTTCAGATCATCCCACAGATCTGAATGTTAGCTTTTCAATTGTAAAGGGTCAGGTATGACTTCTCCAACACCTCCAGCCTTGCTAGGGTCCCTTCTCCATGTTCTCATAGCATCCTGGCCATGTCCCAATCAGAATGCATGCTAAACGATACATATTTATATTTATATGTTGATTTTCCCCAGGTTCAAATAACATGGCCAAGAGTCACGACCAATAGATGATAGAGATGGGATTTGAACCTGGGCCTTTCTGGTATCAGAGCCTATGATCTGTGGATTTTTACATTGTGACTTATCTGACAATATATATGAAAAGTTTGTCAAGTTATCTGGGGTCATTATTCCTGGGAAAACAAATCCTATTACTTATTATGTTAGTGTCCTTCTTTTAGGTGAATTAGTATTATCATTTGTTTGGTTTGCTTAGGTCCAATATTTCCCAAAGAAAATTAATTTAAATAGTAACTATTAACTGGTTTTTCATAGATATATGTACTCTGAAGTTTGCAAAGTCATAGAAGTTAAAGAGAAATGTATACCACGCAAAAATGTCATCTACACAGTCTTGGCATGCAGTCAGTGCTCAATCAATGCAGGAAAACTCCGACATGAGAAACAACAAGCTTATACTTGAAGGTACATCAAGCTCTGCTGGTAACTTAGCTAAGTGACTTTTCTTCTAGACATAACTGTTTGTCTTCTGTAAAATAAGGGCATGGGTCTTACTATTTGAAACTGTGATGTTGAGTAGTTTGCTGCTGGTCCTGGAACTACAAATCAAGCACACTTACATAGCCTTTCCTGAGAAAACGACGTATTTCTTTGGAATAGACCAATAGCAGAACTATTGGAATAAATATTTTGCTTACTCAATATATCAGTTGATATAAAATAAGAAGAAACTCAGAAAACACTAAAACTTAATAAAGTATTTTAAATGCCTCAGTGAAAATAATATGTGAACGTAAAAACCCTGAAAGCAAAGCATAAACTTCCTTTGATATCTGTCCGCCCTAGAAAAAGGTGATGGATTATTATGCATTTCCTTGTTTGGAATTCCATTTATATTCTATTCCCTGCTGCAAGATTTAGAACATCATGAAAATGCTGTAGCTGTTAGCAGGGAAGAAAGGAAGAAGAGAGAATACAGTTAATCCTTGAATTAAATGAAAAATTATTAAAGGAAGATGAAACAAATTTCAGAATACAATGAAAACAGGTAACTTCCAATGAAAAAACAGTGTATCATGCAGGTAACTGCAAGCTTCAAAGGTAGAGAGATAAATATATAGATTTGCCACACTGCTGAAGCTTACAACAAATACCAGAGCCTCATTCTGTAGATTTAAATATACAATTACTTCAGTCCTACTAACTAAATCCAAACATATCATTGTTTAAGCATGTATTGTAAGCAGTTTTGCAAACTCTCAAATATATTCAGAAAAAAATTGCTATACTCAGCTGTGGCTACAGAAACAATCAAAAGACGTTCAATAGCATTTCTCAAGTGATAAGAAAATATTCAACTATGGCTTATTCTAATTTAGACCAGCATACAATGGAACCCAAATCCTGCAGTTTTTCATTTAAGTATTAAAACCTGTTTTTATTAAAAACATCAGAAAGCATTCAATTGAGTTTTCTTAAGTATTCCCAGCTGGATGCATTATCTGTACTGAATTTACTATTCAATGTAATAGTACCAGGTGGTCCTATAGGCTTAATGAGGATTTGATTATAAATACAGAGAAGAAAATGACAATGAGAATGTCTCTATTCTGGATACCTTTCTAATTTATCTCAGTGTGCTACCTTTTAGCTAAAGCTGCATCTGTATTCCTAACAGACCAGGCTGAAATGGCAGGGCCTATCAGCATCAACTGGACACAACTCTGCTGGAATTTTACTTTCGCCCCACTTTCCCAGGCCATATCCTGATGGAAGTGGAAAAGTGACAGATAACATCCAGAGATGAGTGCTAAGAAACAGACAGGGGCAGGCTATTTCCAAATAGTTCCAGATAGGTCGTTATGCCATAGAGTAAAGTTTTTAAGACAATTTGGAAGGGAGAGAGGCTAGAAAAGAAACTAATTGTTTTGCAGCTGATGTTTGGGAAAGGAGAGCTAATGTAATCAAATGTGACATCTGCTTAATAAATCGCTGTCTTGCCAAAGTGACTGGGCACCCTAGGAGGTAATCCTCTTTGAATTAGACTAGAAAAACATTTGACCAGCTGTTATCACTTAAATACATTTTGATTTAAAAAATATGCAGGGAAAAACATCGTAGACCAGTGACCTTCCATTGTCCCCGTATCATCTCTATTTTTTCTTTATTGCTAGCAATGGCCCCCAACTACTATATAAGGAGATGAAGCCTCCTTTGTTCTCTTGAGTACTTTTATTAATTTAGGTATGCAAGTTTAGGGGAGGAGAGGCATTTGAGACCTACTCTGAAAAAAGCAGGAAAATAATTTTGAACTGTGGTTGATGAAGGATAAAAAAGATGCAGAAAAATAGAAGACTCTATTAGTGAAAGCTTCTTAAAATTAACAGAAATCATAATGCATGGATTTAGTAAGGGCCCTAGAAAACAGTATTTAGCTATCAGTAGCATAAAAGGATTTATTTTGTATCTATGTTACATATAAAAATAAATAGGGCATACAGGGGTCTGAATATAAGGTTGAAATTTCTGATGCTAAACAAGTTCAATTAGATTTAACCGTGGGAAAATGTCATTGAATCTTTGGTCTAGAAGAAATTCATGAAGTCATTTAGTCCATTCCCCAAATTACAACTTGGACATATTCAAACTATTACAAGCAAACAATATTCCTTCACACACTGCCTTATATAAGAATCCATTGCATCTTCCAGCAATATCCCTTAGCTATCATAGTTCATATTCACTGAGGATCTACATAACTGAGTGATGCTATAGTGCTTACAGATGTACCCACCATCTAAAATCAACAGAACTTGTCAGATTTAATGAATGAGTTTTCCCAAGAAATATTTTAATAATTTAGTAATAAGATTAATAATAGAAAGTATTGCTGAAACTACAGCTAAATATGTTTCCAACAAGCAATCAACAATTACATCAGGACTTTCAAAAGCCTTTTCTCTTTACCTGAACTGTAATTTCAATTTGGTTTCACCTACGGTGAAGAAATATTTTATGGAAATATATTGGCTGAAAAGTAATTCATCGGGGTCATTTGCATTTAACTGGAATCGAGCCACTGTCAATTAAAATGGGGCTGCCATGCTTTACTAAACCAAAACAGCTAAGAGGTTACAAACAATTCAGCACATCATTAAAACTCAGTGACTCTCAGGTTTGAAAGAGGCTTTAATAAATGAGAAGACACGACGAAGGCCAAGATGAGCATCTGAAAACTATTTCAAACAATAAAATTCCATTTAGCCATCACAGTTAGTTCACTTTTTTACGAGGCAGGATCTCACTCTGCTGCCCAGGCTGGAGTGTGGTGGCTTAATCACAGATCACTACAACCTGGAATACCTGGGCTCAGGTGATCCTTTCACTTCAGCCTCCGGAGTAGCTGGAGTTACACGCATGCATCACCATGCCTGGTTTCTGATTTTTTTTTTAACTTTTTCTCTGGTGAAGTGACTAAAATGCAGGCCAGTTTTTAAAGGGAGAGAACATAAACGAACTAGATAATCCATGAACTCAAGGTGCATCTTTTGAAAAGTGCAACATTTACTATAGTACTGAAATAGCCTGTTTTTTGTTTTATTGAGACAGGGTCTCGTTCTGTAGCCCAGGCTGGAGTGCAGTGGTGTGATCTCAGCTCACTGCAAAGCTCTGCCTCCCAGATTCAAGCAATTCTGGTGCTTCAGCCTCCTGAATAGCTGGGACTACGGGCAAGCACCACCACACCTGGTTAATTTTTGTATTTTTTTCGGGGGAGAGAGACGGGGTTTCCACATGTTGACCAAACTGTTCTCGAACTCCAAGTGATCCACCCACCTCAGCCTCCCAAAGTGCTGGGATTACAGGCGGAAGCCACTGCACCCAGCCTGTTTGCTGGTTTTAAAAATCCTTATTTGTTAATCACAACCCAGAGACATAAGTGCTACATCAGAAACAGTAGCACTCAAATCTCTCATTCATCAAAGATGAAAGAAATCACAAAGTTTGCTTACAAATAGCATTAATAAAATAAAAGTTCTGTATTTAAGTAATGACCAATTTTAATAATTATAAATATTTTTATTCTTTTGTTTATTCACACATTACTTGGAATTGTGATATTCCGACTGAATGCTAATATATATTTTTATGTATTTTTCTTCCTGTGGATTTACACAGACCACACACCACAGAATTGCCTATAAAAGCCTGTGCAGTAACTGTCCAATCAGAGGATCCTATTTTGTGATGAAAGCACTGATAAAATACAAAGTGATTTTGCAGTATTACAGAGTTCACCAGGTGAAAATAGAAAAAAATAATAACAATTAGCCTCCATTTTAAATGACTCCAAGCAGGTAAGTGCTGCTACAATGCCACATATTTCACTATCTGGGTTTAGATTCTAGCCCTGCACTCCTCATCCCAGCCCTTTCAGGGAGGAATCCTCCCGCCTATGCCCAACGATAGAAATGACCCATACAGGTGTTGCCAATGGGGCAGCACACCAATCAAACACGAAGGCTATCAGAAAACTCAGCACTATTTAATTCATTTATAAAGTTCTTCTTAGATTATAATAACATAACTTAATAAAAATTATTTATTTACGCCAGAAAGTGGTCTTATATATTCTGTTTGCCCATTCTCACAAATCTATAAAGAACTACCTAAGACTGCATAATTTACGAAGAAAAAAGGTTTAATTCACTCACAGTTCCAGAGGCTTACAGGACGCAGGACTTGGGTGTCTCAGGAAACTTACAATCACAGCAAACAGGAAGCAAGGCACGTCTTCTCACGGTGGCAGGAGAGACAGAGGCAACGGGCCACTCATTTTTAAACCACCAGATCTCGTGAGAACTCACTCATTATGACGAGAACAGCAAGGGGGAAGTCCACTCCCATGATTCAATCACCTCCCACCAGGCCCCTCCCCTGACACGTGGGCCTTACAGTTGGAGATGAGATTTAGGTGGGGACACAGAGCTAAACTATCTTGGACTACTTAATCATGGTGGATTTTTGTTGATGCTAGTGTTGTTATCTTACCCTGAACTGCATATATTAGTTTGATCCATTTCTAATTGACTGTGCTCTTCTCTCCTGGAAAATCCGTTTGGAAGCTGATAATTCTGTTTGCTTCCAGGGAATGGTTTCGGTTTTTCTTTTTTGTTTATCTTGGTTGGATTTAATTTTGGCTCTGTTTACATCTGTCTTTGGCTAAATAATCCTCAGGTTTTCTGGTGCGCTAGTAGCTTTGTGTCTTAAAATATAATCTAACCTGTAAAAAATTCTATGAAGTAGCCATGAAAAGTCAAGAGGAGGAAATTAAGACCCAAATTGCCTTTATTTTTTAATTTCATAAGAGAATGAGTTTCCTTGTATAAATAAATGCCCTCCAAGACTGATCCAGGCCGGAGATTGCTTTGCCTAGAAGTGTATCATTGTCAAGGAAAAATTCAAACTCAAGATTATTAAGCTTGCTTTAGTTCTGCAAATCATTTACAATCAACAAACATTTCCTAAATCTAAAATACTAGACACCAGAATACATAGAGGATATATCCCGTGCCTTAAAGAGCAAATCCCCTTGTTGAAGAGACGGAACATCAAGGGAAACAATAGGCACGTGTTGACGGTAAAATGAAAAGGCCTGGGGTTAGGGTTAGTGAGAAGAGTGATGTTAAGTACAATCACTTTACCTTTCCACCCCTGGTTACACCTGTGAAATAAATAGATTTCTATTTGCCCTACCTTTCTCTACAGGCACATGAAGGCTCAAACCATAAGAATGTGAAATGCCCATGCAAATTAAGTTTTTATAATAATTTCATTTAAAAATTGATACTGAAGAATCAGTATTTTACTATCCTATTTTAAATGTGAGAAGTACCAAAAATTCTATATTTAACTCTTTATTCTACAAAAATTAGGATCTTGAAAATCATCCTAATGGCTAGCAAGGAAAACCTATTTCCTGGTGCTTTTTCCTCAGTGACGTCAATATGACACATCTCCAAAGGTGCAGAGAACTCAATTACTTGTAACACTAGGCCCTGAAGATGTTCTTATGCCATCAAAATTGTTTGCATGATTTTGGAATATCCACTTCTCACCTTGGGAAAAAACTTCCATTTTCAAATCCGGAAGTTGTATGTGGTAGAGCCTAAGGGGAATTTCTCTTCCTTTGTTAGTGATTCAGTAATGGGCAAAGAAAACTACAAAGATGTTTTCATGAAGGTTCCCACTATCCCTGTTTAAGAGAAGCTGCAAAATGGAGTAATATCTTAATCAGCTTAGGCTGCTATCACAAAATATCCTAAACTGGGTGGCTTATAAACAACAGAAGTATATTTCTGATAATTCTGGAGGCTGGAAGTCCAAGTTTAGGGTGCCAGCATGGTCAGTTTCTGATGAGGGCTCTCTTCCAGGTTTCAGACTGGGGACTTCTCATTTTCTCATCACATGGTAGAGAGCAGAGAGGGGAAATAAGCTTGTGACTCTTATAAGGACACTAATTCCATTCATGAGGGCTCCACCATTACGACCTCATTTAATCCTACTAACCTCCCAAAGGTCCAACTGCTAATGCCATCACATTGGGGAATGGGTTTTAACATGAATTTGTCGGGGACACAAATATCCAGTCCACAAATAGCATCCTTTGTTCTTCTGGGTTTTGTCATATGTAGAAACTGCTATGGCCATGTTACTACCTATGCATGAAGCTGACACTAAGAATTGGGAGATCAAAGAGGGACAGAACCTAGATCTCTATAACATCATAGAGCTATGACTCAACCACCCCTTAAGGGAAGTAACCAATGCCCTACCATTGATCTTCCTGTTACATGAGAAAAAAAAAATGTGTTAGTATTTCAGTCAGTTTGAGTCAGAATTTCTGTTAATTTTAGATTAAAGCCATCAACTAATATACATATCATGATAAATACTTCATATGTTATTTTATCTTCAAAACATTATCATTCAGAGATGAGGAAACCAAGGCCCAAAAGATTGAATGACTTGTCCAAAATCACACAAAGCCAGGTGTGGGGCCCAGGCAGCCTGCCTCCTTCAACACCCATAATTTCTTTTAACAAAACATTATATTTTAGCATATTTGATTAATCCCTTCTTAGAACTATGCAGAAAGAAACTTATCCTTTAAAAATGCACTTGATGAATTAAACATATAATAGGTAGAATATTTCATCATTTTCCAATTTTCTGTTTATTTCACTAGTATGACTAGCCAAAAGTTTGTTTAGAGATCCTATTTATCTCAGATTCTCATGAGCTTCCCCAAAGATGAGACAGTTTATAGAAATAATTCTGTAGAGAAACTAATGGATATCTAATTTGTAATGAATAAGCTGTAGTTAATATTAATTTATAATTTTTTAATGGAATACTGCTATAATAGCACAGAACCTCTGAGACCCCTAACCAGAAACCAAGAGTCAGGTACCTGTTTTGTTGTAAAAGAGACAGGAAAGATCAAACGATATATGAATTTTTTCTCTAGAAGGGGCTGCTGTTCTGACTCAACTGGGTTGATGATCAAGTACTTGGCTAGGATCAGGACCGGATACTTTAGGTTTGGATGAGAAACAGTAGAAGCTGTGACTACTCAGAGCCGGGGGAACAGCCAGACCAAAAACCGTTAGGGAATAAAGGAAGCCCAAAGGCCCAAAAGATAGAAGCCAAATGTCAAATCTAAGAACAAAAGGCAAGAATCAATGCAAGGATCAAAAAGCCCTGTGACCTTGATGTCAAAATTTGAGCTGATCAATGCCAACCCAGTAGGAAACGAGTTTCTAGAACTGTCTTAGATATGTTTGGGCCTTCATGATCCCTTGTAAGAACCAGCAGATACATGATACCTGGGAAGATGACAATGGCTTCCAAAACTGAGGCTGGACAGACCACCAAGGATCACAAAATAAAATCAAAGGTTTAAATTTAAATAACTACCATGACAAGAAGCAAAGTACTCATTGCATGATGAAAACCTGAAAGCAGAATTTCTCTTGGTGCAGCAAAGGATCTCTAGTAAGAAATAACATTAGAGGCCAGGCGTGGTGGCTGATGCCTATAATCCCAGCACTTTGTGAGGCCAAGGCAGATGGATTGCCTGAGGTCAGGAGTTCAAGATGAGCCTGGACAACATAGTGAAACCTGCTCTCTACTAAAAATACAAAAAATTTTCTGGATGTGGTGGCAGGGGCCTGTAATCCCAGCTACCTGGGAGGCTGAGGCAGGAGAATTGCTTGAACCCAGGAGGCAGTCAGCCAAGATTTCGCCATGGCACTCCAGCCTGGGCAACATGAGCAAGGCTCCATCTCAAAAAAAAAAAAAAAAAGGAGAAGAAAAAAATGAAATAACATGAGAAAACATAAGTGTTATGATTATTATAAAAGTTGATGATACTTAAATACATTTGAGGATCTAAAGTTCTAACAATGTTCAAGGGTAGGGATCAAGTGTCTTACATAATCCTTCCACCAAAAGACATCAAGCTTAACTGAAATTCAAATCTGAACAACAGGACAACCATGTGGAAAACAATGCTGCAAAACTACTACACAGCAAGTAAGTCCAACTGCAAAGCTGCAATGAACTATAAGTGACTGAAGAGTATGTTATGTACTGCAGGCTACACGAATCTGTGCATGTGAGTAACTGTCAATATCCCAGCCTAACATAATTTTAATGATGGGAATAAACATTAAATATTTACCAGCTGGTGCACCGCTAGAATAATGGGCTCACCTCCCTCCCTTGAGTACATACAATAATAAATGAATAGACTTGGGCTTCCAACAGCAAGAAAACGATTGCCCAAAAATTGGAAATCAATGATACCACTATGGTTACATCAATAGGTGAAGCAATAAATGGAGGCTGCTGTCATTTAAAAATATATATATTGTAATAACAGAGAAAAAAAAGCTACAGGGAATTTTTTCTTATGTTTGCTTTATTTGCTTTCTAATTTTCAAAATGAATTTTGACAGAATTCCTTGGCCATGTGTACTTTTTAAAAGAACACATTGTCCCGAACTAACAGTGTCTCCTAATATGAAATCCAGTTCCTGTCAATCTGTCTGTAAAAATATTTTAAGTTTAGATTTTCAGTTTGTGTCTAGTGCTAGGAAAATGTATGATAATTAAACTTACTGAGAGGAAACAGGAGATGGGATTACAGGACACAGTGTCATGGGAACAAATAAAATAAAAACACGTTTTAAAATGTTAACATGTAATCTCTATTTTATTCTATTAAATTTTGTGCCTCATAAGATATGCTGAACCAAGAGTTCCCAAGTTATGACTTACCATGGAAAATTTTGGTGGGCATGTTTTCTCTTAGAAATAAAGATATCGGGCTGTAAGCGTTGATATAACTATAGTCTTTTAAGCTTATTTGAGGAAATGGTTGATAGCAAGAGCTCCACTAAAATACTGAGTTGGTCCATTTACTCATCCCTTCACCTACCCAGTGAGGGACTCTTAGCTTTCCGGCAGCATGACAATAACGGCTCGTGGCTTTTATTCTCTTCATCCTATCAAGTGGCACTGTCACAAAACCTAACCTAAGAAATACCTGATAGGATATGCTGGCACATCAGCCAGCAACTTTTCCCCTGACTACTGCATTCTTACTACCTGAATCAAAAAACTGGTGCAGGTCAACTCTGAGGATGAGATAACAACAGGTGGCATCAAGGGGACACTTGGGTTGAATTAGGAAATATGCCTCCTTTTTGAGAAAAGAATTGGCACTAATTAAAGGGAAATATAAATTATAATTTCATACAAGCAAGGAGTCCTAGGAAGTAGAAGCCATTTCGGAGTCCTAAAAATACTTGATTTCTTCACTTGCTATTTTGAAAATTGCTTTTCGCTGTATGGTAATATTCAGTAGGATCTGGAATATTTGAAAGGAACAAAAAGCCTTGTTAGCTCTTTTCTATATCATAAAATCTATTCTTTGTCATTTTACATATTCATTGCTGTGTTTTCTTGGGTGCAATATTTTTTAAATGGTTTCTGAAAAGTTAAATTATTTTTCACAAAAAGAGTGTATCTTTTATGATTCTCTGGTAATGATTTTTGCACATTGTCTATCATGGTCTTGAAGTTTCCATTATTGATTTCTGTTTTTTTTTTAATAATAAAGAAAATGAACCTGAAAAAAAAATGTATCTTTTCGTGAAAAGCCAAAGCCTGTTTATATTATGAAGGCACACAAATGTCAATAGTTGAAATTAGTTCAAAATGTCCTTATTATGAATGATTTGAATTGTAAATAGATATATTAATTTGGTTTAGTTTTCTTGTCTTTCCCTTTCTTTGTTCTTCCAATCTATAGAGACTCTGTGAGCTGTCTTGGGAAAGGTTCAGTCAGTGTGTGTGTTTCCTGCAGCTTCTTATATCAAGTCATGTTAAACATGGATACCAATATGCCACCTCCTACATAAATAGTAATTTCATTCAATAAGCATTCAACATTCACATATTGAACCTCTACTATGTGCTACTACTCCTAGTCTAGAAGATGACACATGACAGCAACCTGGCAGAAAATTATGCAATCCCAAATGTTTTCTAATTACATACAGTTCAAACATGAAAACATCCTTGTAAAAATGTGGAGCTTGAGAATATTTTTTTAACTATACTTTAAGTCTTGGTATGTACAGAACATGCAAGTTTGTTACATAGGTATATATGTTCCATGAAGATATGCTGCACCCATCAACCCGTCATCTACATTAGGCATTTCTCCTAATGCTATCCCTCCCCTAGCCCCCTACCCTCCAACAGGCCCCACTGTGTGATGTTCCCCTCCCTGTGTCCATGTGTTCTTATCGTTCAACTCCCATTTATCAGTGAAAACATGAGGAGTTTGGTTTTCTGTTCTTGTGTTAATTTGCTGAGAATGATGGTTTCCAGCTTTATTCATGTTCCTGCAAAAGACATAAGCTCATCATTTTTATGGCTACATAGTATTCCATGGTGTATATGTGCCACATTTTCTGTATCCAGTCTATGATTGATGGGCATTTGGGTTGGTTCCAAGCCTTTGCTATTGTGAACAGTGCTGCAATAAACATGTGTGTGCATGTGTCTTTATAGTAGAATGATTTATAATCCTTTGGGTGTATACCTAGTAATGGGATTGCTGGGTCAAATGGTATTCCTAGTTCCAGATCCTTGAGGAATTGCCACATTGTCTTCCACAATGGTTGAACTAATTTACACTCCCACAGTGTAAAGCGTTCCTATTTCTCCACCTCTTCTCCAGCATCTGTTGTCTCCTGACTTTTGAATGATCACCATTCTAACTGGTGTGAGATGGTATCTCAATGTGGTTTTGATTTGCATTCCTCTAATGACCAGTGACAATGAGCTTTTCTTCATATGTTTGTTGGCTGCATAAATGTCTTCTTTTGTGAAGTGCCTATTCATATCCACCCAATTTTTAATGGGGTTGTTGGTTTTTTCTTGTAAATTTGTTCAAGCCCTCTGTAGATTCTGGATATTAGCCCTTTGTCAGATAGATAGATTCCCAAAATTATTCTTGTTGCAAGAATTGGGTGTTTTTATTTTTATTTTTTCATTGATGTTTATTTGTATCTCAATAGTTTTTGGGGGTACATATGGTTTTTGGTTACATGGATAAGTTCTTTAATGGTGATTTCCAAGATTTTAGTGCACCTGTCACTCAAGCAGTATACACTGTACCCAATATATAGTCTTTTATCCCTCATCTCTCTGCAGGCTTTCCTCCTACCCTGAGTCCCCAAATTCCATTATATCATTCTTATGCCTTTGTGTCCTCATAGCTTAGCTCCCAGTTATAAGTAAGAACATATGATATTTGCTTTCCTATTCCTGAGTTGCTTCACTTAGAAAAAAGACCTCCAGCTCCATTCAAATTGCTGCAGAAGACATTATTTCATTCCGTTTTATGGCTGAGTAGTATTCCATTAAATACACACACACACACACACACACACACACACACATATATCACATTTTCTTTATCCACTTGCTGGTTGATGAGCACTTAGGTTGATTTCATATCCTTGCAATTGTGAATTGAAGCACTGCACATTTTTAGAAAAAAATGTTGTGAAGAACCTTGTTAGTAATATTTAAGACACCTCGGGCCAGGCGCGGTGGCTCACGCCTGTAATCCCAGCACTTTGGGAGGCCAAGGCAGGTGGATCACGAGGTCAAGAGATCGAGACCATCCTGGTCAACATGGTGAAACCCCGTCTCTACTAAAAATACAAAAAATTGGCTGGGCATGGTGGTGCACGCCTGTAATCCCAGCTACTCGGGAGGCTGAG